GGGGGGGGGGGGGGGGCGCGGGGGCGGGCAGGCTGGGGGTCGGTCGGCAGGCTTGGCGCGCGGCGCGCGGCGCGGGCACCAGCCTTGGCAGCTCGCCCTCTCAAAGCGGCTTTGCCGGAACCGCCTTGCTGTCGTGGGACGCTGTGGTGCGAGTTTTATGGGGCCAGCCTGGTCTGGATCGACCCTCAAGATCAAACCCCACCAGGCAGCTGCGGACTGATCACATCGTGCACAGGCGTGTACGCTGCGGGAGCTGCCGGGCCGGCGCCCACGCCGCGCCGCACCTGCGAGCTGGCCTCGAGCGCGCGCTCGTAGGTGACGGGCGTGCCGTCCGCGAGGCCGTCGGGGCCCTGCGTCAGCCGCTGGCTGCAGCGCGCGACCGTCTCGCGCAGCGACGGCGCGCGCGCGTCGGCTGCGCCGGCGCCGCCGCCGCTGTCCCCGCTGTGGGCCACCAGCAGGTCTTGTAGATCGGCGCTGCTGCCGCGAGAGATCACATAGCTGTCGCGCGGGGGTGGATGGCGTCGCCGGGCGGGTCCGGGTCAGGGGGTGGTTGAAACCATGGTTGCGTGTGCCGAACGCTAGCGTGCAACGGCGGGCACGCGTCGGCGGTATGGGGCGCCAGCAAAAGGCAGGCGAGGCCGATCCTGTCACCATAACACAGAGGAGGGGGGAGGTCAAAGGAGATCCTGCAGGCGCTGATGCCACCGCCGCAGGGCAGCGTGCGGCTGCCTCGCAAAAAAGTGCGCCGCGTTGGCACATCCCAGCCAACGCCAGCAAGTGCTCACGTAGCAATACTGCGGCCGTGGGGCCACTGTCGAGCAAAAAGGGCCAAGGGGGGGACTAGCGAAAAAACAACACAGAATCTCGCGAGCAGAAAATACGTTACACACAAATGCTTGCAAGCCCATCGCGGGCTTCCGCAACAGATACAAGATTGAAAGATATTCTACAGTACGAGCGATCAGCTGCAGCGAACAATGAGATGTCGGGTGAATATCTGGCATACACACAAAATCGCACCATCACAACATGCCCGGCTGGAAGCGTCCGGTGCGGTATCTGGCTGGGCAGGGCGTGCTGCCATGGGCTGGACAAGCGCACCCTGATTCAGTATTTGAACACGCTGCCTGGGCCACAAATGCAGTACGTGGTTTGTTGCCGCTTAGCATACATATCATGGTCCGCAGCGAAAGCCTGCGTCATCTGCTGCCTTTCGCTGGACCAATGTCCCCGACTCCAAGCCAGAGGCAGCCGTCGGCATATCTCCCCCACATCCACTGTAGTGATCCACAGGGATGGACACGCCACGTATCAGCTGTAAGTTGCTGCTATAGCTCTGGCAGGTTTGCAAGATCCTGCCATCAACACGGCCCATGGCCGCCTTCTAGTGCTTACTGTATCTAGCAAGGTACCCCAACCTCCCAACAGCATCAAGTGGAGGTGGTTGCCAGTATGCTCCTGCAGCATGACTGAGGTGTGTGGCTCCCATCTAATCTTTTGGGGCCGATCCCAAAATCCCATGAATTGATCGTCCAGCGGCGGCGGACAACCTGATGGCTGAGGCATCCTGTCATGCTGTCAGCCTGTGTGCCTCTTGACGTTTTTCACTGATCCCTTTTCATGAATTTGGAACAGGTGGAGTGATTGTTGAAATCCTTAACCTGACCCTTCGTTCCCCGTGATCAGGTGCGCGTCGGAGCACCCATGGATGCAAGGTGCCTGAGCACCCATGCAACTACATCCTCAGGTGTGCTGACCAACGCCAGTCACCATACCAGCGGCTGCAGGTCCGTACAATGCAAGCAAAAACACCTGCAGCTGATTGGATGGGTGGCAAGCATGAGCAACCTTTCAGGCAGCCTGGGCACGCAGGTCAGCATTAGTCAAGCTCTTCGATGCGCGGTTCTCGCAGGTCCTCGCACCGTGCGCCATCTCCTGATAAGTTCTGCCATTTACAGAAGCGATGGTCAAACGTTGCTTACTGTGGTGCGAGATCATACGGCACAGCCCAGCGATATGGCAGAATGGGACCCGTGGCGCCCACTAGGGTGAGACATGGATGTCGCAAATGTTCTCAATTATCACAACCACAACGCGCCCGTGCAAGCAGCAGGCAGTGAAAACCCGGTGACGCCGCCGGCCGCTCTGCAAGTTGCTCGCGCTGCCGCGCCCGCAGCGAACCGTCGCAGCTAATGCCTATATACCACGTCCGGCGGCCGTGCAGGGACCCCGGCCTAGCCTCATCGCAGCAACGGATGGCAGAACTCCTGGAGCCCACGTACAGTACTGGCGCCGCCTGGCGGCGGCAGCTGGCGCTGTGACGACGCGGCGGCCAAGGCGGCGGCCGCCCCCGTGATGCTGCAGCGCGCCCGCAAAGCCGACCTGCGGCGGCAGATCGACCACGCTGGAGTGGCGCAGGCGAGTACGCTGAATCTGCAAACACGCAAAGGACAGTGCTGCAGGGCCGATGCAGCTTGCATGTTCTACCGCGAGCCTGCGGCCCCTGCCCAGCTGAGCGGCAGCGCGTTCGGCGTATTTTCCCCACTGCGCGGTAGCCCTGCGTTGCTGCGACGTGCAGGTGTCGGCGGCTGAGCTGGCCCTGCCGGCGCAGCTGGTGTCTGGCCTCGCGCGCGGGGTGCAGGGCCTGCTGCGGGCGGGGTGGCCCGCCTCAATGATTGTCATGTACGATGAGGTGGGGGCTCATTTGAAAGGCGGGGGGAGGGGCATTCGCCCAGGGGAGGGGGGAGAGAGAAGGAGGGGAAGCGGGCGCGGATAGGTGGTGGTAGTCTGTCGTGGGCACAAGACGAGGGGTCGCTCACCACCTCGGCACTATTCAGTGCGTGAGGGCGGCCGAGCGTCCGAGGGATGGCCGGCGATGGCCGGGCGCTGCTCACGACCACGATCGCATACGCACGCGCACGCGCGCCCCTGTCTCCTCCTCTGCGCACCACCCGGCCCCAATGCACCCGAACGTCCCCCCCCCTGACCCTGCGCTGTGGCGCGCCCCCCAGGCCTGGCTGCTGATCGAGCACCTGTCAAAGGTGCGCTGCCAGCCAACAGCCTCGGCTGCGCGCATGGCGCACCCCAGCACCGGCCCCTGCTTGCGTGTGCCCGCCCTGCGTGGCCCCTGCACCCTGGGGGCGTGATTCATGTGTCCTTGCTGGCAGGCGGCCAACCAGTGCCGCCCCTGCAAGCCAATCCTCCCTTCGGCAGGTGATGCGTGGGGCGACTGGCAACGCCTGCAACAAGGACGTGCTGGCCTGGTGGGCTGGTGTGGGTGGGCTGGGGTGTGTGTGAGAGACTGTGTGTGTGTAGGGAGGGGGGTGAGCACAGTGTTCAAAATTGGGGGCCCGGGGACGTGTTGAAGAGGCCGGTGATATGAGGTGGTTGGGTTGTGCGCCTACGGGCCAGTCATTCACCGGGGACGATGCATGTAGGGCCTCGGGACTGTGCTGAGGCCCAGGCCAGAGGCTCATGCCTAAGCTGAGTCCACCCAGTCCCAAGGCCGGACCACCCGCACCACCCGTGCCCCTCTATTCTCCCCAGCCGCGCACTGACCCTCTCAGCCCCCTCCCAACCCCCCCCCCCCC